ATGTGGTCTCCGATGCCTCCTCGAGGGTCTTCGCTCGTCTTCAAGCGCCTTTAATCTCTCTCCTTGGGCGAAGATGAGATAGTTCGTTTGGTTAATTGCTGCGAACAGCGCTTGTATGGTGGCATCCGCCCCAGAGGGGACGGGGACTTCCTGAAACCGGGCGACTCTGTAGTGGGCGAGGGCCGCCGGGTCGTCCTCAAGTGGTGGTGGGAGCGAGGAGGAGGATGCTGTGGCTCCGTCCCTGTACGAGGAAGTTCTGAGGACGGTTGTTGCAGGAGCGGTGTTATGGCCGGGATTGCCGACGTTGTCGAGATGTCCGTTTTTGTCCGCCGTGCCATTATTGGTGTCGGCGACACGGACGTTCTGCTCATCGCGAGCTGGATCAACCATGACAGGTAGTTGAATTTTGAGCTTTGGTCTTTTGAGTTGTTTGTAAGACGGGGAAGCTAGTTTCCCACAGACGGAGCCACTGATCTGACCTGATCAGAAATGGACCGTCACGGCTGGCTCCGAGCTGAAAGTTTTGAACGAGGTGGGGGGGTACCTGCAAGACACTCCGATGCTGAAGTAAGTAGAAGCACGAGCAGGCAATAGTAAGTGTATGGGTAGAATGATGAATACCTGACCCTCTGGAAACAGAGGGTATTTATAGCCCCCAGCGCTGGGCCAAGGTTCCTTCATTGGGTCGGGCAGGTTTGGCCCAATGGAGGAACTGCCAGGTTCTACGTGCGTAGTGGGGACCCGCACGTGGTCCCCTTCCTGGATGTTCTGCGTGAAGTGCGGGCGGACGGAGACGCGGTCTTTTCGGAGTCTCGTTGGGAGTGCAGTGGACTGAGTCTGCCCTAGTTGGGGTGCTCGAGGTGATGTCGAGCTGGACAGCAGGATGTCGAGCTGGAGATGTAGAGGTCGAGCAAGTAACCTCAGGGAGCACGTCGGGCACGACTGTGACCCTTTGGTCGGCGTGGTCCTCAGCAAGTCCATTTGGATTAGGCCTCAGCAATGCTATTGGGCCTGTCGGGCCCAGTCCAGAACACTCTTGATCACATAGATCCATAACTTTCGACTAAACTCATCGACAAACGAAACAAAATATATGTTTCTACCAATAGAATGTTCTTCTAATGGACCACATACATCTAAATGTATCACTTAGAGTATGCATGATGATCTCATTGACATAGTCGGAAAAAAAGAGTTTTTGGAATGCTTGCCAACTAAACAACCTTCACAAATTTTTTTGGGTATCTCAAGACTTGGGATACCAGATACCATATCTTGAGTAATCAGCTGATTGAGTGATCGAAAATTCAAATATCCAAACCTCAAATGCCACAACCAACTATCCTCGTGGTCGACAATAATTTTTAGACATTGTACTTCAGTCGAACTGGTCATGGTCTTAAACATCCTGTTCTTCGACAGAGGAGAATTTAAGACCAAATTGTTCTTGGTGTCGAACAATTTTAAAACTCCATCTTTCATGACAACTGAGAAACCTTTTTCGACTAGTTGTCCAACACTTATCAGGTTGCACTTCATTCCAGATACATAGAGCATATCTTTAATCATAGTTTTTCCTCCATTACTCATTTAAAAGGCTATTTTGCTAGTACCTTGTGCTTGCAACAAACTATTATCAACAAGTTTTACTTTGCTCTTCTTCGACTCTATAAAATCTTCCAATCGCTCATTTCAACCAGTCATGTAATTCGAGCAGCCTGAGTCGAGGAACCAGATCTTGGATTCGACGTGGTTATCTGCAACTGCAGCCATAACCACCATACCACCTTAAGAATCATCTGAATCTTGGTGTGCAAGGTTTTCTCCTTCATCCTTACCTGTAAATCCCTTGTCTTTTCTATACTAACAATTCTTGGCTGCGTGGTACCACTTTTCGCAGTTATAGCACTGCACACTTTTTTTATCTTCTTTGTCCTTTCGATATTTTCCTTCTCCTCTTTTCAAGGATTCAGAAGCTCTATCTTCGACCTGATGCTTGTAAGGGTTCGACCAAGACTTATTTCCATGAGTCTTGTCAAATTTGCCTTTGAATTTGTTGGAATCACCATTCTTTTTCCATGACTCAGCTTGCATCGCCTGTATCGAGTCCTGAACTCCTTTTCTTTTGACAATCTTCATCTCATGCGCCTCCAACGAACCAACCAAATCTTCCACTTTTATGCTTCCAAGATTGTTGGATTCTTGAATAGCTACGATAACGTGATCAAAATGAAAGGTCAACATTCTCATTACCTTCTCACCTATCATCTTATTAATTATGGTTTCACCATAACCCTTCATGAGATAGATGAGTTTATGAACCTTTGACACATATTCTGCAACTTTTTCGTCTTCTCCCATTAACAACAACTCATATTGTCGATGCAAGGTTTGCATCTTGACAACCTTGACTTTCTCACCTCCTTCATAATACATCACCAAAATATCTCATGCCTCCTTCATCATTTCAGCATGAGATATTCTATCAAAGTTAGCAGCACCGATCATCTTCTGAATTCAATAAGCAGCCTTGCAATCTTTCTTCTTGACTTTGTAGTGAGATTTTTTCTGTTCTTCGGTTGTATTTGCAGTCAACGCATGAACGAAGTCGGTAACCACTTCTAGGGTTTCATGGAAGCCAAACAACGATTGCATCTGTTTTTTCCATCGAATTCAATTCTTGTCGTCAAGCATTAGAAGAGAATTTGGAATACCCTTATCACTAGCCATCTTTGCAGCGGTTGATTCACGTGTCCTTGAAACACGATCTTTGACGTGAAATCCTTGAAAACTCGATCAAGAACAATAACCGAAAGCTCTGGATACCAATTTGTTAGTGTGCGAGGCAATTTTAGTGAGAAGGGAAAGAAAGAATAATAAAGGAAATAAGAATTCTATTATTGAGTTGTACAAAAGAAGGATACACACTATAACTATTTATATACAATCCTAATTGGATTTGGGTTAACATAACTTAGATTATATTTAAATATTAAATCTAATCAAATATAATCTAATATAATATTTTAACAAATCTAATTTAATATTTCAATAGCTACGAGTGCAAAGGACATGAACAGTCTACTGCAAATAGTACAAAGATCACAATGATTCTTTTGTCAAAGATTAAGATCATGAAACATTCAACACTGAGGAAGTTATATTAAGGCTCAACTTCTCACTATTTTATTCACCAATAATCAGAAGAAAAAAACACTTAACAACTATTGTGAATAAAATTTAGAAAACTATCTGAAGGAAAGAAAATAACTTTTAAAGAAACAGCAACTATAGAAGAATCTCTACTAAAATAAAGAAAACGAAACAAACATGTGATTTTATTGTATACGCTTTATGTTGAAATATTCAAACACTTGCAATTATGCTTTGATATGTTTACATGAATGTTATTTGTAAACACGTTACCAATCATCTATTTATTTGATTGTATTTCCTCGAAGGGTCAAGTGTTAGTCAAATTTATTGAGAAGACAAAAAGATTTAGTTTGCATCAGCTCTTTGTGTTTGATAAATCTACGATACATGTCATTTGAAATAGTAAATATTTTAGTAAAATTGTAATTAGATAGAATATAGTGAAACTCTCTCAAGTATGAGGAGACTAGACGTAGTTCCTGAGATAAACTAGAATAAATTCATTATGTCAAATATAACTTTTATTTAACACTCAATATTTGTGATTGACTTGAGTTTTATTTGAAACAAAACCGAAAAAAATTTAAATCATCAACATAATTCAACCCTATTTCTTGTGTTTTTCTCATCTTTAAATCAAATTTAGATTGTCCTTATCATGGCTGTGAAAACTAAATATTCATCATTGGTGGAAGGAGAACTAGTGTTAGATTAAATATCTATCTTTAATGGTCTGTGATGTCTTGGGCTTTCCTATTATCATTGTTGCTTTTGAATTGACTTTAGTATTGATTATTTCATTCTTGATAAATAGAGTTCGACTATTGTCAAAAACAAAAAATATTTTATTAGTACATGTATGTAATGTGGCCTATTATTTTCCTTATGCTTTTGCAGTATAATGTTGGTGTTTAGTTATTCTACAAGCCTGAGTTTTTTAACATCCACAAATATTAGTTTAGTTTTTAAAGTAACTTTGAAATGTGGAATAAAAACTATACTATACATATATTGTTTAGATGTTCCTATTGATTTTTGCCACTTTATTTGTGATATGCAGATGTAGATGGTGATCATAAAGAGAAGGATTTAATTTGAAGAACACTGCTCATGATTTTTTGTAAATATAAATTGTTTGACAATTGCATTAGCATTTGTCAAAGATTGACATGTGATAAAGGGTACAAATTAATAAATATTAGCATAGAGAATCATGTGTAGTGGAGTATTATCCAAAGTCAAGATTTTGCAACCTCATCATAATCTAGTAGGGTAATGTTCTTGACTTTACCTCTCACTCACTGTGCTCAAACACAAATAACACAATAAACTAGAGTTGCATCTATGATTTTATATCTAATTTCTATATACTCCAAATCAATTTCAACACTTCTTCACATAATGATGAAAATGAAATCTAAATCAATGTGGCCATGTTTTCATTTGTAGTCACAAATATGAAAACATGAAAACAAGCATGAAAGAATCATTACAAATAGAATATAGCATCAGCTCTTAAATGTAGTCAGTACTAATGACAACCATGAGTTACAAAATAGAGTAGGAAAAAAAAACACAACATTCCAATACAAGCTATAACAAAAATCGGTAACCACGTGTGTCTATATCGTGTCTGACAACCTGTTAGTGTGGAGTTTTGGTGCTATAAAGCTCAGAGTACACTCAACATTAATTGCTAAACATCAGCAATCTCGCCTAGAAATGTTATGAGAAGCTTGGTTCTGAATATATTAGCGAAAATATGATATGTACATTCTATACCTAGAGGTTCCACACGGGGAATTTGATTCTTCCAAGTTTGAAGATTGTGTGTATATGCAGTTTCATGTATAGAGAGGAGACAACGTGATACGCGGATAAGCATTGTGACTCTTCGATGTGTTATTCTTTGCATGGCTAACATCATCAGCACTTTTTCTCCGATAACGCTTTTGATTTCCTGCATTTACATTAGGAACCTTCAGCTGCTCCAAAATATTAACAACTTCATCCATGTTGGGCCTGTACCTGGATTCGGTTGATAGGCATCGTACAGCAAGGGTGGCAACCTTGAAGGACTCGTCAGCTGAATACTGCCCTTCGAGCCGACTGTCTATGATGCTGAAAATCTTACGTTTGTTCGCCAGATACGGTTTAGCCCATTCCACCAAGCTGTGTTGTCCGGATGGTCTATTCTTGTCAACTGCCCTCTTACCGGATAACATTTCAAGCAGGACAACTCCGAAACTATAGACATCACTCTTAGTAGTAAGATGACCTGCATACAATAACGATTTTACAGGTGGAAATAGAAACATGAAACACCAGAAGTAAACGGTTTCTAATAGTTTAGCAGCATGAAATCGACAATACCTGTGGCTAGATATTCAGGGGCTGCATATCCATACGTTCCCATCACTCTGGTGGAGACATGAGTTTTTTCACCGGTTGGACCGTCCTTTGCCAACCCGAAATCAGAAAGCTTTGCATTATAATCCTGCAATCAAATCAAGAAATATGTTTCAGACATGTTAGCCAAATAATCTCCCAACATTTATCAATCCTCTGGAATCAAAGTGTACATACCGAATCCAACAAGACATTTGAAGTCTTGAAATCTCTATATATCACTTTATTTTCAGCACTGTGCAGAAACGCAAGCCCTTTGGCAGCGCCAATAGCAACCTTCAGACGCAAGCTCCAAGAAAGAGGTTGAAAATATGATCCTCCTGTTTCAAATTTCAATAATATTGCCAATGTTAAACAAACATCTTCCGGAGTTAGAAATTAAGGGAAAAGATGGGAAAGGAATAGTAGTAGCTCACTCCTGAACAAGTGATTCTCCAAGCTTCCACGGGGCATAAACTCATAGGCAAGAAGGCGGTGTTCATCTTCAAGGCAATAACCAATCAATCTCACCAGATGAGGATGAGAAAACTGTCCAAGATAATTGACTTCGGCCTAAAAGTGAAAACAGAAACATAAATTTCTCTTAGTTTTCCAATCGTAACGAATCACAAACATAGTGTTATTGAAAATGCAACAGGTTTTAAGTGAAGGAACAAATACTAAAGGTCTGTTTGGATTAACTTATTTCAGGTTATCAATTGGCATAAACAATGGTGGTATTGTTGAAGAAAGCTTATGGAAACAACTGAAGACTTATTCATAAGTTGTTTTCAATTTATTTCTATTAAGTCTACAGGATAGCTTATGAAAACAACATATAGCTTATATGAAAACAGTTAATACATAAGCACTTAATTAGTTTTTTAGTTAAACAAGAGCTGAGAAGAGCAAAGATGACAGAAAACAACTTGAGATTGCATATTTGAATCGTTAACCAACCAAACAATGTAACAGATCAGAAGCATTTCTTCTTAATTATGATGAGCAAATGATTTAACAAGTAGATTAAACTCACCAACCACTCTCTGTGACCTTGGAAGCCTTCAAGATTAAGTCTTTTAACAGCAATAACAATTCCAGTACCAGGTTTAGCTGCAGCCAATGAATTCTCATCAATCCAACCCTTAAAAACTGATCCAAAACCCCCTTTTCCTAACACACTATCCGGACGAAAATTTCTAGTGGCTGACTTAAGTTCTGCTAAAGTATAGCTCTTTAATTTCGACGATTTCAAGATTTCACCTTCGCTCCGAGGAGTCTGAGGCACTGATGCAGCTGAAACCTTACTGTTTGAGCTGCTCAGATCATTTCCAGCTGAAGCAGAATTCTTTGAATTTAACCCTGCGAACCGATAACCGATAACCGATCCATATCGATTAGAGTTAAAACTTTCATGAATATCAATCACATCAAATGTAAGATACACTGAGCTATCAAACTGGATCTTCAATTGTGTTTTATACAGTAAAATGGATCAAAATTGGCACATTTGGGGAGAAAACATCCATGTTATGAAAGTGCTATTGCTATAGAAGCATCAAAACAAGGTAAAATTCTCTATGGTTTTTGATATTTGGGAATACATAAAGGATCAAACTTTGAAGAAATAAAATGAAATTGAGAATACCCAAAAGCAATAAACATGAAAGTGACACAAACATAAATCATTTGCATACAAGAAATGAAAAGGGTAGGAAGAAAATAGAAGAAGATATACCAGTGTTATAAGGAGTTTCAGCTTTGATTTGAGCGCTTAAACAAACTCCCATGTCACCTGAAAATTGTAATATCCTGCACAAAACCATGAAACTTGGATTGAATAAATAGAAATAATCTAAGGTGTTAAATTAAAAGTGGAAATATGCATGAAGGAAGAAAAAAAGCAAAGAACCTATGCCTAGAGAGAGAGAGAGAGAGAGTAAATGAAATGAAAAGAGTTGGAAAGGAACAAGGAAGGTGGGATGTGATGTAGTGACAGACTAACATGACAAAGTAGTATTCATGAAATTGTGGAATGAAAAGAACCATCTTTTTTTTTTGTTTGATTTTTTATATTACTCTTTTCATGCTACTCTTGACTCAAAAGTCAAAATCTTATCTCAAATTAATATAGTAATTTTAATTAAAATATTTTTAACTTTTTAAATAATAGATAAAGATCAAATACAATCATAAATATAGCAATGTGACATAGTGTTCATAGCTCATAACATTATTTTCATGTTCATACATTATGTGTCTTTTCTATTTAAACTTGAATAAGGATCAAATTTTGATTTCTTTTTTCAACATCAATAATTAAAAATAATAATAATAGACTATGGATATCTTATCATGAGAAAAATGGTTTTTGACTAAATTGATTTTTAGTTTTTTTAGTAAATATATGAAAAAACCATTATACTCTTGCTTAAATTAATATAATTTGTCTTTGATTTTCAAATGTCATATGTACAACGACAAATTTTAATTCAGAAATGGTGGAATTTGACTTTCTTATGTATTCCTCTTCAAAACTCCTTCAAATTGTGTTTTTCTTATATTGAATAAAAATTTCATTCAAGGACGATTTCAAGAGAATTACAATTAGATTGAAAAATGTTTAGACGGTCTCTATTTAATTAAATGAAAGATTAAAAGATTAAAATCTAATAAGACATGAACATTGATAAAGAAAGAGTGACTAGGGGTCAATATGTGTCACTAAACAAATATCTAAATTTTATCTGTGAATTGTTAATCTTAAAAAATTGTAAAAAGATGAAGTCAATGAATTATTTAAACTTTTGTAGATAGGATCAAATGTAAAATTGTAAAAAGATGAAGTCAATGAATTATTTAAACTTTTGTAGATAGGATCAAATGTAATTTTTTTTTTAAAAGGTTAAGTTTTTGACTATTGTTAGTAGAGTACTCTTTGTAAGGACTCTTATTTAAAGTATGTTGTTACATATTATGATGATATATTTTTAGTCGGTGTCCTTGTTCAAGAATATCGAGAGATAGTTGAGAAATTTTATTTTGTCTGATGATATTGATATCCATAAGCTTATTATCGTAGCGTGGAAGGACTACTGTTATGTTAAAGAGGCTGGTGGCTTATGTTTGCGCTCTATGGCTGCTCTTAATGATGTTGTGGGTTTATTGAATTGTTGGGAGTTTGTTAACTCCAATAAGAAGTGGGTTTTAGTCTTGAAGGCGAGAGTTATTTGTAAGAGAGATCATATTAAATATCATATTCTTTCTTTTGTCTGGATTGGGATGAAACAAAATTACTATGATTTTAAAGGTAATTTTACTTGGTTAGTTGGCACAGATTCTTGTATTAATTTATGGGTGGACAACTGGTGCGGACAACTACTTGTGGAGCTGTTCAACATTCCAGTTGAGCTTCATCGTAATCTAGGGCAAACTCCTAATGGATGAACATATGATTAGGAGGGGAATGACTTTAGTTGTAAGAACCATGATGAGAATATCTCTCGTCTTTGATTGTGAGTATGCTCAGTTGCTTTGGGCCTAGTTCATTAAATGCACAAGAACTCCTACTTTTACTTTAATTAGTGATTGCTGGATTTTTTTTTTATATTTGCGGTTTAAAGTCTACTAGAATCATCGTTATTGCGAGTTTCTCCAATATTGTTAATGCAATTTGAAAGACTAGGAATAATGTTATATTCAATTATATTATGGATAGATGGGAGCTTTTGGCTTTAAGAGTTTTTTCACAAGTTGTTATTATAGGTAAAGTTTTAAAGAACCACTCTATAAATAGCATGTTTGATTTTTTGTTACTTAAGGCTTTTCGGCTCAACATTGTTCGTCCTAACCCGGTGGTGGTGAAAGAGGTTTTGTAGAATTCACCTTTCAGATTTTGGTTTAAAGGTAATATTGATGGGGTCTCGGTTGTTAATATGGCTGCTTGTGGTGAGTTGGTCCATGATCATAACGGGATTCACATTGGTAGTTTTTTCTGTTTTTTAGGCCTTGGCGACGCCTTTTTTTTTTTTTTTGCAGAGTTAATAGGTGTAATCCTCTTGATGGAGCATGTTTTAGCGTCCCATTGGCAAAAAAAATTGTTTGAAATAGATTCTATGCTTGTTATCCATGTGTCATCTAACACTTTTTTGATGTCTTGAAAAATCGGAATAGATGACACAATTGTTTTAGGGACATATCTTCTATTAATTTTTTGGTCTCCCACACTTATCAAAAAGATAATCAGTGTGCTGACATATTAGTTAGCTTAAACCTAATTCTTAAAAACTATATATAGTAGAATACGATTCACAATGACATCGAAAATACATATATTAAAAACTTATAAAGTTTGTCTAATTTTAAAACTTGTAAATTTTTAAGTTTTGGTTTAATCCACTCATTCTTATTCATCTCTTCTTTCATTTATACTATTTTCTAAGTAAGACTCTATTCGAGTTGAAATTTTTAAGTTTTAAAGAATTACTCACTATTTAAAAAAATATTTTAAACAAGTCTATACAATATTATTAAATTTGGAGTATATTGGCTTCTTTAGTCTTTCACATTTACCTTTTAGATATATATTTTTTATTTATGTTTTAAACTATTTCACTTGTTCTCTTCAAGTTATCTTCTTGTCTTCTTTAAAGAAATCTTTTGAATCTTTAAATTTTGAGTGTACGAAAGTATTTAATTGATATTTATGAATATTTAAAAGATTTTATTTAAAATTCTAAATAAAAATAAAAAATTAATTATAATATTTATTATAAGTTCGCATTTTAAACAATCATAAAATTCTAAAAATTTATTTAAATAAGAATCATCATTCAATGCTTAAAGTTCCTCCACAAATTTGAATCAAATTCTAAAACAAATGCATATTTATAGAGCAAATTTTTAAGGATAAAAAGTATCTCAATTTAAATAAATAATCAAATAATTCTTTTAAATTAGATTTAGTCATATCAAATAGTAGTATGTACTATGTCTATGTCATGCCTCACGTATGCAACATGACGGGCGAATTCATGAAGCGGGGTCCAAGGACATGCAAGTTGAATTTAATGATGTTTGATGTTTTGTGCAAACTGCATAGTCATGCCTTATGGGACCTCTAAAAATGTTATATTGTTTTTAGATTAAATAGATGTGTATTAATATTGTAAAATGTTTTTATATTGTCAATCGATACAATTATGTAAAATATCAAGTCATATTATAAATTTTAAAATACTTTTAAGATTTGATATTTTAAAATATTCAATTTAATGTTTGTGTAATAATTTTTTTACATTGACATTGCATTACTATTGAACTTTTGTATTTATAATATTTTTCTCATTTAAATTTAATTTAATTTATGTCTTGACATTCTATTTAAAAATAAATTTAAATATAAAAATTATATTTAAATTTAAACTACAAGAGTCATTTTGGTACATAAGATAAAAGACAATCAATTGCTATTTAATTTAAGAAAAACGAGTTAATCATAATTCAAGTGGGTGTATAAATGAGTTTTTTTATTGGTTAATTGATCTTTTTAATTAAAGTTTGAGTATCTGAAATCTGATTGGTGTGAGCAAAAGTGTAGACTTAAACCTTTAACTCATAATGGATAGAGACTAGGGTTATATATATTATTTGGTTAAGTCTCTCTCTAATCACAAAATCAGAAATATAACCAACAACTCTAGAACTTGTTCCTGTTGAAATATTAAATTAGATTAGATTAGATTTAATATTTAATATAATCCAAGTTGTGTTAGCCCAAGCCCAATTAGGGTTGTATATAAATAGTCATAGTGTGTATTATTATTTGTACACTTGAATAATACAAATCCTTATTTCCTTTATTATTCTCTCTTTCTCTCCTCACTAAAAGTGCCTCACGCACTAACAAATTGATATCCAGAGCTTCCGGTTATTGTTCTTGATCAATTTTTCAAGAATTTCACGCCAGAGATCGTTTTTTTAGGGCAAGTAAATCAACCGCTACGAAGATGGCTAGTGGTAAGGGCATTTCAAATTCTCTTCCAATGCTTGACGGTAAAAATTGCATTCGATGGAAAAAAACAGATGCAATTCTTATTTGGCTTCCATGAAACCCTAAAAGAGGTTACCGACGGCGTTCCGGCATTGGCTACAAATGCAACCGAAGAACAGAAAAAGCCCACAATGAAGTTAAGAAAAAAGATTACAAGGCTGCTTATTGCATTCAAACGGATGTTGATGCTGCTAACTTCGACAGAATCTCTCATGCTGAAACAGCGAAGGAGGCATGAGATATTCTGGTAAAGTATTTCGAAGGAGGTGAGAAAGTCAAGGTTGTCAAATTACAAACCTTGCATCGACAATATAAGTTGTTGTCGATGGGAGAAGATGAAAAAGTTGCAGAATATGCGTCGAAGGTTCAGAAACTCGTCCATCTCATGAAAGGTTGTGGTGAAACCATTACTGATAAGATGATAGTTGATAAGGTAATGAGAACGTTGGCCTCTCACTTTGATCATGCTATCGTAGCTATTCAAGAATCCAACAATCTTGAAACCACTAAAGTGGAAGATCTGGTTGGTTCGTTGGAGGCGCATGAGATGAGGATTGTCGAAAGGAAAGGAGTTTAGGACTCGATACAGGCACTGCAAGCTCAATCATGGAAAAAAGATGGTGGTTCCAACAAATTCAAAGGCAATTTCGACAAGACTCATGGCAAGAAGTCTTGGTCGAATTCCCATAAGAATAAGGTCGAAGATAAATCTTCTGAATCCTCGAAAAGGGGAGGAGG